TTTTTAAACTGATTGACTGAATATTCTTAGACTGTAGTTTCCTTGATTCGCAGTGCCATGCGCTAGACCTGGGGACACAACCAATCAGTGTCAGTCAGTGCTTGCGCAGAGCTCAGAGTCATCGTGTGCACAGTGAAAAAAGAGATCCGAGTGGTGGCAGCAGCGTAGACTCACAGCTAGCAAGCTCAACGAGTGTTACAATCAAGCCAACTGCATACATTGAGAAGTTTTCGTTGGATCCAAACGTTGAGCGTTGAAGCAGTGTCCATTGAATGCCTCCAGATCACGAGTTCAGAGTCAACCGATGACACAGCTGACTGTTCTGCCAGGGCCCCGTCGTCGATCGGCTGGCGTTGGCAGCTGATGTCTCGGATTGCAGTGTCACCATCACGCCGCATCAAGCCGTGATGCTTGGAATACAGAGTCATGTGGCCACCAAGCAGTGTCATGCCCCCACCCCTTGTTCAAGTAAGAGTCATGCCCAAGCACATGTTCAGAGCCAGCGTCCATTGTTGCAGTTCGGGGCTCTTCCTGGAGCCAATTTTTAGTCGTCAGCGTTTATCAACGACAGCGTCATCTGCTGCGAAGAAAAACATGCGCGCCAAAACATTGCTACTTAGTCAACCGCTGATTCTGTGACCCAACATCACACCTAACCCTACCTAACCCCCCAAACGTTCTGCAGAATTCTGCCTAAGGCGTTTTATCAAAACCTAATTCTGCAGAACCCGCTGCTTTCCCCCCGCAGTCCGTTACCCCCATCCGCGGGGCCCTCATAATAGCAAAAACACACATTCGCCGCTTGAGGAACGGTGCGTTTGCATCGCTAATTCCCTACTACTGCTGCGTTTTGGATGCTTGCGGGCGCTTGCGAACGCTGCGCACGGATTTCGCGTCAACTCCCTAACCCCCAGACCCCCAACCTCTAAACGAGAACCCTTCTGCTGCGCATTCGGGAACAATCAAACCAGGTGTCGTACGACGAGATCACGAAGATGGGCAGCCAGGGCAAGCTGCCCTTTGGTCAGGTCCCCGTCCTTCAGCTGGATGGTGAAACCTTTGCCCAGACCCAGGCGCGTTTCGCACAAGATAGCCTCTATTCTGGCACCGTAAATCGAGGGAGGGAGTCGACATCAGGAAGCATCAGCTTAAAGTCAAAAGATTACGAAACATCGTCCTCTCTCGAAGATCTGTTTGAGGCGCATGAGAGTGGCTTTCCAAGCACTGCCAGGCCCTTCTTCGCTGGGCCGGGCGTGAGGCCAATCTTTATCCAGAGAACCCTCGACTGCAACTTCGTTGCGATGCCGTAGAAGACGCGCTGGTGGACATGAAGAAAGCGACTCGGCCAGATGACTCCTATTGCCGATTTGTGCTCTCGTGTGTAACTCAGGTCCTCGGCCCGTGCTGGTACAACTCCGTCCTCGGGCGCGATCCGGTGACCAAGCAGCCTTTGGTGCAGCTGCCTGACTCTATGCGGGAGGAGGTGGCGTTTGGGCACATAACTTGTGCAGAATGGTTTTTGCGGTATCATTGTCACCGAAACCACTCCTCAAGAATCGTTTTCGAAGAGAAGGTGCTGCAGAGCTTAAACAACATCGTTCTGCCGGCGCGGTTCCAGCAGTTGGAGACTCATGGCTCAATCCCTGCTGTTGCAACCCAGCTTGCTGGTGGAGAGGACCAGTGCAAACATGTGCACCGGCATGTCATCAGCTGTTTGGTCCCCCTAAGCCTCATGCTGGGAGTGTGTGACAGCTCGATTGTTGCTGTGCCATCCCCGAACATTCCCGGCGCCAAGCCAAGGAAGTTCTTGGCCGCATCTGGCGGCCCGTACTTCTGCGGAGACGAGATGACGATCTGTGACCTGAGCATGAGCTGCGGCCGCGTGCGAACAAGATTTTTTTATTCGATGAACTAGGTGAGCGAACTTTCAGCTCCAAGACATGATTGGTGACTGCTTTGTATTGCAGGTATGTCTTTGCTGCGGGGATCTTGGATGGGACGTTTGTTCCGGGTATCGAGCCTCGGGTATTGGATGCCTGCCCGGGACTGAAAGCTCTCGTGGAGCGAGTGGCAAGCCATCCACGGGTGAAGGAGTGGAACGCGCTGCACGTCTGAAAAGTATCTGCGCAGGCAGCTCGGGCAACAGCTGCGGAGCTTGCAGCAGTCTCAGGCGTTTTGGAATTAGAGTGGATGCACAGCAGCCGCCCTAGCTGAGCCGCATCTCACTGCGATTTTTTTACCAATGTAGGCTGATTTCGTTGGGTCTCTCAGGCTCTCTCAGAGCAAATTCGAGGGTAGAGTCGTCGGACCCGGTGCGCATCACGGACGTCTGCATCCGCATTCCGGGAAGAAGAGATCGAAGAGAGAATCAAAAAGACAGAGATAGACAAGCACGCGAGAAGTCTGAAGCACAAGCAGCACGTCGGCTTCCAACGTGCATCGTGCAAGAACTTGCGAGCTGGTCTGGAACCTTTTGCACAAGCTGCAATGCAGCTCCGAGCGGAAAGTGGCAACAGCGAGGGCTGGCCATTTCTATGCTTCCAGCTTTCTCAGTCTCAGCGGTGAGTGACACATCGTAGCAGTAGCACAAGAATGGAAAAAGATTGGGCCGACCCGCAAGGTATCATGCGACATCAAAACATGTGGGGTTCAGTCCGTTTCGTGGTTCGGTGCAACTGAAAGGCAAATTCCGGGCGTTTGTGCCACGTTTTTCATTGTATAGTATGAGAAAAATTTGCTGCTCAGTTTCAGGAACGCCTCCGGGTGTTAAGACAAGAGTTAAGAGTTAAAACAGTGAAGAGACCTGGAAGCCTCATCCCTGATGGCTGTAGTTCCGATCATTGTTCTCTACTCCGTACTCTTAGCACAGCGAGGCAACAAACTGGAAATCCTGTGGGACGACCCGCTAAACATGAACATGGTCGTTGCACCGATCTTGAAGCACTTGGGGGCTTTTGCACCTGATCCGCTTTCTGGAAGCATTGGAGCCGCCGGTATCAAGCATAGCGGCATGAGAAGATGTTACGACGAAGTTGCGGGTAAGGCCGCCTTTCGGCGTGACCTCTCGGCCTCTCCGAGGGGTTTGTGATGCTGTCGTTGCCTTGTGCACTTGATATGAAGTTTCCTGGGCTTTGGGTCTGTGTCGGTGTGTGTAGATGGACGACGCAGCTGGGAAGCATCCGAACACGAAGCCCTCAAACAGCAAGGCCAAGGTTCCTCCTGAAAGCTCTTTTAACCCGTTCCCTCCGAAAACAAACTGGACAGCCACTCTCCTATAGCAGCCGTTTGGAGTCTGAACGTGTCCTTCAACCCTGCGTCCAGGAGCTGGTGCTGCAGCTGCGGCTGTTGGACTTAGGGGACCACCCGGGCGACTTCCTTCGGCTGGCACCTGAGCCGCCAGCTCTTGAGGCCGGGAGACTCCGCCTAAGCTCCCTTGTTTGGGACGTAAGAAAGATGTAAGGATATGTGAATTAGAAGTCTCAAGCAGTTGACAGGATATGACAGCCGAACCTCTGCATGGTGACGCTGCCCCCAACAGTCCAGACCTCCAAACTTGGCTGTTGAGCTGCACGCTCGCAGCCCTGCAGAAACTGGGCTAGAAGATCTAGAAGACTCCCAGCACGAAAGCTTCGATGTCTCCAAAACTGCAGCCTCGTCGTGTCGTCAAATCTAAGTTAGGCTTTTGCTTCTTCTCATTCCCGGCGACTGTACCGTGAAGAAAGAGGCAAGAAGTCTCCTGTACAACCGTGCTACTGATACCAGGTTGCTGAGGTAAAGTCTTGTGCTGGTGCTTGCTGCCAAGCACATGTGTTCGGTTGGAGGCAGGCCCAGCAGGTTACTGCTAGCGCCCGAGCAGATGGCGGCTTCAGGTTCGGCTTGTTTTTGTAAAACTGCGAGGCCGTGGAACGGGCGATCCGCTCCCTTGCAACTGGTCTGAGACATGCTGAAGCTTGTTAGTTTCTTGGGATTCTTGGGGCGGACGGAACATTGGAAGCAACAGAGTCAACTCAGAATATTCAGTTCAAACTCTCGGACACCATCCTTCAGGTTGCTATTGGTGCCCTCGAGAGCAGCTCGAAGCTGGGTCTTACACCGCTGGGCTTCCACTTGGCGCACATGCCGGTGGATGCCCGAATAGGCTGCTTGCAAGCACTTTGGTAGACCTTTCCAGCAACCACCTCCGCAGCAGACTTCCCGAGCTGCGGAACACAAGTATTGAGTGTCTCGGAGATGAGCTGCCAGGAAAAATGCTGGTATATGGCTCTCTTTGCCAATGTCTGGCACCTATTCTCACCATTGCAGCTTGTTTGTCCCAGCGGCCTGGCTTAAAGAGCATGTGGCTTCTCAGACTTGCTTCTCGAAGGAATCCTGCTGCCCAGTTTGGATAGGACAGGCCATGCCATACCACCCCGAACTAGACAGCTGCTGAGGAAGTCTCCTTTCGTCCGCAGCTTCAACCGCAACAAGGAGGTGACTTTGACCGGTCAGGTTTCGTTGCCGTGCCCGACCCATGACCCATTGCCTCCTTTGCGGAGGAGCTCCAGGTGACAGAGCGCCAGGGAGCGTGGGGCTACCTCAGCTTCCTGGCGCCAGAGATAGCATACCGAAATGTACCGAATTTCCACTGTGTACTAATTGCCTGCTCTGTCTCTGTACTTAGATGTAGAATCCAACTATATCTATATGCATGCATGCATTGTCTGCCTGTCTGTCTGCGTTGACGTATGTATGTACATATGTACATGTAAGCGTACGAATACATGCATGCTTTCGTGTAGGCATGCATGCATGGACGGATGGATGCATGGACGGATGGAGTGACGGAGGGATGGATGGATGGTAGACACACACATATACATATACAGTCATATACATATACATGTACATGTACATGTACATATACATATACATACACACACACACATATATATATATATATATATTTATTTATTTATCGAGATATATAGATGTTTGATGAGGTAAAGACAGACGAAGAAATAGGCAAACACGGCAATATACGAATGATTCAACACACATGTATACAGATATTCATCAACAGATGCACGTATACATCTGTTTATCTACTTGTGTAAGCATGTAGCTGCTCATTTATGCATGCACGATGTCTGCATTTCTGCATATGCAGTACACCTTGACACAGAGGCCGGAGGCGCATCCGTCAGCTGTGGGCAGTCATGCCTTTGTTTGAAAGTTGGATTCTCCAGTCAGCGAGTCAGCACGATGTGTGGAATCCTCTCTTTCTTAAACGAAGTGAGGGCTAATTCCTAAACGCGCTGTGTACGGTGCACCCCACCGGCAGCAGGCGTGTCGTCATCTTGCGACTTTCGATCAAAACCGCGCGAAAGCCTGCATGGTAACTATCGTGTGCATGTGGTGGAATCTAATTAATTTTCGGAAACCGCTGAATATTCTGTGGTCTCCCGTTTTCTTGCTGCTGATATTCGAGCCGAGGCAGTGATCAGCTGGCTATTGTGAAAGCTTTCGACAAGTATCTTGGTTGGCAAGGTGGGCTCGGAAAGGACATCTTCATTGTAACGGTTTCTCAGGCGCGTGAGAGTGCATGGCCTTGAAGTCGGGCCCAGTCGATGATGTTCCAACTTCATGAAACCCGACAGAAAGAATGACCGGGATGACCCAGCCAGGACCAACATGTGCCCTTTCCTGCTACGGATGTTTCTCCTGCTTGCATGAAACAAACCGGGCAAGCAACGGTGGTACCGATTCCTTGGCACATCTTGGCACTACGGACTTGCCGCTCGAACATGGCTTGCGAAATCATGAGGACGAAGCATGTCTTGCCTGCTATCTATAGATTCCAAGCGCATTCTGGTTTAGTGCTTTCGCAGAAGATGAGATGCAACGGACTTGCAGTGGCATCCAAACCGTCAGGATCGATCGCAGGTATATTTGGACTTCGCAAAAATTGACTGAGACCTGGATGTGGGCTGTGTTTCCGGGCACGCTTTGTGCATAGACAGCCCGCAACCTCTTGGCGAGTTTGTGAGTGGCGACGGCAATGGTTCTCGAGCGAGATTGCTCTGTGTCGTGTCCTGCGGTCAGGAACCTTCCGGCCGGAAGTTTGGAGAGATTTGCTCTGGCTCACTAGCTTTTCATGGAAATGTCCTGCACCGAAGGATGAGAGCAAGCCCGAGCCACCATGTCTGTGTCAAAGGTACCAGGAGCAGAAGTTGGTCAGCCGTGATGCAGCCTGGGAGGCTGGCGACACTAGAAAGCAGGTTGGAAGAAATTTCTTAACATTTGAAAGACTAAAGAGTTCGGAATATGGAGATCGTGTTCGCAAACTGTGCGTCGGATCTTGCTACTTTGGCACTGCGATTGCTTTCTGACAGGTGTGCGACCGCTTCGGGCTTTCGGCTTCTACGCTTGATGACATGGCGGAGCTCCCAGCTCCCACTGCATCGGTGATTTCCAGTTAGCATTGTTTGTCGATGGCCATGTAAACACCAGTCTTTGATGAGTTCGCATTGCCTCTTCAACTTGTCAGGCGCAACTCCGAAGGCAGGGCGAGACATGTTAAGGCTCAGGTTTAAGTTCAGGGGTCAGCCCTGTGACTCTGCGCTCACCTGTAGAGAGGTCGCACAGCTGGCAGGCATTACCATCATGAGAAGTGGGGGTCACATTCCGATCAACTGCGAACACGGGGCACTTACTTGTGTGGGCAGGCATGGGCTCATGGGATGCAGTTTCTCATAACTGCGAACGGTACCATCCAAGTTCGTTTTCTCGTATGCAGCTCCAGCTGCCGTGCTCAGGGTGAGGCTGAGTTCGTGGATGCACATGAGCCGTGTGTGGCAGGCAATTCCTTCGTCACCTCACTGAGACTGGGTTCGCGCTGGAAGAGACGGAGGATGGAGGGGAGCAGGCTCTTGGGCTGTTACCGTTCAGGTTATCAATGTGGGTAGGCGGGCTGAGAAAGCTCTGCGTTTACAGGCGACTTTGCGATGGACGTGCAGGGAGTTCGGCAGTAGGCTGTGACGCTGTGATGTCAAGCGGCTGCCCTCTCTCCTGCTCAACAACATCAGGTGAACATTCACGATATCACAGTGTGCGGCCCTCTCTCCTGCTCAGCAGTTTCAGGTGAACATTCACAAAAAGAACATGTCCCTCGTGTGACTGGGCTAAAGTGTTACATCTTGAGACGTTCAACTTCGTTGGCATCGGCAGCAATGCTAAGGGCTTGCTTGGGTGTTTGCTCGGAGGTGATTGCCTCACTGACACGTGTGCTGCCCACCCTCGTGAGTCCACTGGCTGACCTTCGATCAAAGCCCGCAGCCCACGAACTCATCTTGGAGCCATGTAAAACGGTTTAATCAATGACGCAAAGCTTCAAAGGCGATGTGTCCTCTGTGCCGGCCTGTTTCCCAGCGTGGCACAGGTGCAGACTCTTGGCCGATTACCATTCACCACACACTAGCGGTGGTGGGAAACACACCAGCGGGGTGGCAAGTCCATGCCAGTGCAATCGGTTGTTGGAGCTCATGCTTTGGCATCATTCGATGAATGCAGTCCCAGGAAGCAGAGCAACTCGCGCGGAATTTCGTGCCCTGGCAAGATGCGATATTATGTTGCCAAGTGTCGACCCGCTGGAAGGCCGCACGACTACTGAGAATCGCGTTTTGCAGCCGAGAGACGATGAGAGCGAGCTCAGCAGAGTCGACTGGTGCATGGGATGGAGTGTAGAAGCTGTGAGAACAAGGTACCAGATTTTCGTCAGTCGCCAAAATGAGCGCTGCACACCCCACCCATCGAGCCTGAATTTCAAGGCTCAGGACCTGTTGCTGGGACAGGGGAATGAAGCGCACTTGTCTGAGTCTACGTTTGTTCTAATGAAGTCACCAAAAATCGTGAGATGTCGGCTGAGAGTGGAGTCTGATGCATGCAAAATCATGCAAAGCCGCAGACCTGCACAGGACTTTGCGGCCAACCATGGTTGGCTCTTGTTCCACGACAAAGTGAAGACCACACAGATCTACCTTCACGATACAACACTGGTAGGCGCACGGGTTTGCCATAGCGTAGTGTTAGTCAGTCTATTGCTTCGGCTGACTTGCACTTTCTGCCGTAACTTCGATATCACGCTGTGCCAGACCGACAGTTCGAAGAAGGGATCGTTGTGCTCGGATTGCCACTGTACGGTGCCTTGTTGCGCGGAGGAGCCATACCGCTGCTTCTATTCGGTGGTGAGCTGAAGATTTCTCCCAAGGATTTGCGAGTGGAAACTCCAGTCTGGTCTGAGCCGGTGGGCAGTGCTGCAACCATCCGTTTTAAGCCTTTTAAGCACTCACGCAAAGAACTCCGCTGTGGCCACTTTGGAAGGAGAGGAAGTGTGTCACAGTGGATGGCATGACTTTCGAGGCGAAGGTTCCTGCGCAGGGGCATGGGTTGTTCATATCTAAACTCTAGACACATATGATGTCACATATGTGTATACATATAGGACATATGTATACACATACGTTCTCAGACTTCCCGAACAGAGTGAGCACGAGGAAAGGGTCGCCAAATACCGCAGTGGTGAGGAGATTCTGAATCCCGCCAATACATGAACTTGGGGGCAAGCAGCGCCCGAGTGGTCGTGATCGTCGTAAAGGTGGGCCTGGTGCTTTATCACTGTTTTGGGATCTGCGTGGGGAGTGTACACACACACACACATATATATATATGCACATGATCTGACATGATATTCTCTTGTATATTTAGCCAGAAGCAGAAGTACAGTGGCATAGACTCGTACAGATTTGTTTACACCAGTGCTTGCCATTGTCATGCAGAAGCCATGATATCTGGTTGCAGAACCGGCCCCATCTTTCGACAGACGCGGCTCGGCGACTCTCGCGCTTCTTTCTCTTGTATCGGGTGTAGTTGCGTCTGGGCCACTCTTGTTTTAAAACTGGGGGGCTTGCTTGTTGTCTGTCAAGCAGCTGGGCGGGTGGCAAAACATAGTGTTTTTTTTACCTCTTGGGGGGCTAAGTACGCCTACCTCGGCAGACTGGGCACAAGCGCCGAACTCTTCAACTTGGAGTTGAACACTTCAAGGTAGCACCTTTTTCTACCAGGGCCGATCGGGCAAGTCTTCCTGTTCTAGCATCAACTGCTCACAACCCGATACAACCATCTCAGCATCCGACAGGATGAGAAATCCGCCGTCCTTTTCAAGGAGCTGCGCAGAGAATTGGACAGACTGCTGAATCTGGGCGGCATCCTTCCAGTCTAGTACGTCTACTTTTCACATGATTTCACTGTCACGTTTGGTTAGTCAGTCGGGGTAATTGATAGAACAGCCGTTCACTTATTCAACTCGGCCGATCGCTGTTCGGCATTTCCATTTTCGTTCCTGCTGTCCATCTTTCCAAGAACTACAAGTTAAATTGCACCCTGCCAGTACTAACGAGGGAGAGCTATTTATTGCTCCTGACACTGCACGCCTAAAGGCCCGTAACTACTGTTACTCTTCTTGTATCATTCTCACTATCTACTATTTCTTTTACCACCACCACCACCACCACCGCCGCCACAACCACTTCAGAACCACCACCACCTCCTCCGCCACCACCACCAGCACCACCACCACCTCCTCCGCCACCACCTCCTCCGCCACCACCTCCACCTCCACAACGGCCTCCACTTGTCTTCCACATCGAAGCCTAGTAAGGCCGTAGCTACACCGTATTCAGCAATTCGTTGATGACTTGTGCAAGAGAGCAAACTCCCACCACACCATCTCATGCCACGAAGCAGGAAAAAATGTCAGCTCAACGTGTGGACGCAAGATCTTAGAGGCCTCAGCTTCTTCGAAATGTTCACTTCTTGATCTTTCTCACCTGGTGTTCTCTGGCTATGCTCAGCGATTCCGCATCTGTCTGTTGGCCTCCTAAGTGAAGCTCGCTCAAGGAGTCTGTCGCATCGAGCTTTCTTCTGCTGGTATGGAGCCTCACCCGGGCAAGAAGCGTTACAGTAAACGCAACGAAACTCAGGCTCCTGAAGGTTGCCAATCCATCCGAAGATCTCGCCTCTTCGGCGGAGCCCTTGCTCCTGACCGCCTGGTGCCCAGCGCTCTCATGGGGAACAGGGGGCCAGGTGAAGAGATCACATATTTCCTTTGTCTTCTGGGAAGTTCAGAAAGTCCTCGAATCGGCTTCAGCTCAAGCCGGACACTCAGGTTAGTAAGCTGCTCCAGTGGGAAGAGCGCGGAGCCTCTGGAAAAAAGTCGCACGAGCGGTGCGAGGACTTCAGTGAATGCGACCTGCCCAAGACCCTTGTTCCTTCATGCGCTCTCCGTTCTGGTGACTTTTGCATCTGCCTGGCTCGGCTTTTTCCCAAGCACTCTTGGAGTGTCACACCTTATCTATCAGCCTCCAATGGTCCAACCGACGCGATGTCTTCGGAGCAATCTTCTGCTGCTGCTTTATGTTCTGAAAGCTTCCGGCGCCAAGCAAATCACCGAAATAGATGAAGATCTTCCAACCCGGAGTGGCTCCATGCTGCAAACACAGAAGCAGCTGGCGCCTTGAACTATTTGGCGTGGTTTCAAGAATCTATCAGATCATCCGTTTTAATTTTAAGGGTTGTATCCCTTGCACGACGTGAGTCCAGCCAGACAGGCCCCATGGCTAGGCTAGGGTGACATAGCTGGGAACGAGGACCGCTAAGCTTGATTGATTTTGAGCAACTTTCAGGCGCCAGCCGCGCTCAAGTCCTCTTGCAGCGACTCCGAGTTGGTTTGCCAGCAGCTTGCACAAATGTCGGCGTTTATGGTTGTGTGAGTGAGTGTGAGCTGCCTCTGGCAAATGCATTCAGCCGCCGTCTTCAACAAAGTGGAGGGGATGGCCGGGCCTCTGTGAAAACGGACCTCTCATCTTCCCTGAGCCCCAGACAATTTCCCTGAGCAGTCGTGCATGGGACCGTGATTTGTTGCTTGGCTCAGGTATTGGTCATGGCTCCCGATTGTATACAGCTGTGCACCCCGAGATGCAGGCGTGCTCGGTGAATGGCGGCGAGATTCCCTGAAACATGCAGATGCTGGCCAACGTTCCAGTCTCGTTCCTCCTGTAGTCGTAAGATTGAGCCATGACTCGGGTGTGGCAACTGAGAAAACTCACAAGGGTTTGTCGCACAGATAATAGTAGCGTAGCACATGATTGCTTTGCCCGCAAATTTCAACATCAAAGTGCGGCCGGCTCCCATAGTGAGTGCCGGTAAGTTGCTCCTCCGGTGAGCACGCTTGCCACACTCCTCCGACATGCGAGACCTGCAGCGCCGTGAACTACTGCTCCAGCCAGCCCTGCCCAGTTGCTGCTCGGACCCTTTACGAAGAAGTGTGTCGGGTGAAAGGAACCACACGAGCTGCATGGAATGCAGCATTGCATCGTGCAACAGCCCGTCAAGGTATGTGGCTTCGGGCAGATAATGTGCAACGACATCTCCGACAGCACTGTGTCGTGCGCAGATCTGGAAGCAGGATGTCCCACAAAGTGTCCAGCAGATGTTTCTTTGCTGCATGTATGTTCCAGCTCCAGAAAGACTCCTCGAACATAGACAGTAGGCTATGGATGCCAGACACGAGCAGTAAAAGACTCGGCGCGAGAATCTAGGATGCCGCCGGTGTCGAGGACTGGCAATGTAGTATGTATCATTGCGGCTTTGATTGATCGTGATTTGTGAATGATAGTCTTCGCATCAGTCAGATGTCTGCTGCAAGGCCCAATCGTATGAAGAAGTGAAACCCTCGGGACCTCATCGCCCTATCCCAACCATTTGGTGCCACCATGTTGCTGCGGAGCCGACTCACTGTCATCAGGGTTTGTCCAAGCTTCGGCTGCCCCGGCCACTGTGCCACTGCAGCTTGCGAAGCACCTTAGGGCCTTAGGGAGGCTTGGACGGTCCGTGCAAGGGGTCGGTGATAAGGCGAAGCTGCCGACTGCTGCTTTGCATTGCCAAAGACCTTCAACACCATGTGAGATTTGTAGGCAGCTTTGAAGTTGCAGGCCAGAGTCGGGGTAGCTCCATGCAGAGACCCGCGAGTGCAATTGGGATTCCTCCTGAACACAGCTCCATCCAGTTGTTACTGTTTGCATTGGCATCCTTGCCTGATATGTCTCGCCAACTCCAACTTCCCGAGCTGCCGACATGGAGACTCGGTGCATGTGTTGGCTGGGAGACAGAGGTCATCGCAGCGGCATGTAGCGACTAAGGCATTCGACTGTCACGCGCCTCCAACTTGCGCTGGCTGCGCTGGAATGTGCCTTAATGCATATAACTCCCCACACCACTTCCTGAGTTGCTCAGCATTCTAGTAAATAGTCGGACCTCTGGGCAAGCGCACACGTAATCCATGACTCGGCCTTTCATGCGCTCACGTCACATCACTAACGCACTCAAGGCTATGCCTGAGTACCGTGCAGGAACTGGTGCTCTTCGAAGCCCTGCCCTGCGATTTGCCCTGTGCCTCGGTGTCGAGCAGCTGTTGGGAATCCAGTCACGATGGACAGAAATCATGTATGCAGAAATCATGTATGCGCGGAAAGCCCATCGGGTGGCTTCAGTGCTGAAGTGCTGCATGTCACTGTCGGCAAGAAATCAAGGACGGTCAGACATCTTGCACAGCACTGAACGGGAGCTACTGTGCATTTCAGCTGGCAACGTGTGCATGTGTGCTGTTCGGTTGTGGTGGGCCGTGTGTTCGCATTATGCACCAGCAATGAGGTACCTTTTCATAAGGGCTGTCCCGCCAACTGCTCAAAGCAAGAATACTCTTGCCACAGCCCTGGCCGTGTGGCTGGAGAGGCTTCTTGGAGGCATGTCGTCGTTGCTGTACAACGTTGCAGCGCAACCCTGTGCCTTCCAGTAAGCGTGCGGAGTGAGGCGGGCATCAACTGGTGCTGCTTGGAGCCATTTCAGTTTGGTTGCCTATGTGGTCCCTCAGACAGCGGTTTCCGCCTCAAACAGCCCAGGCTCCAGCGTTCCTTGCTCCCCGGTCTGCAAGGCTTCCGAGGTGCCGTGCGCACTTGCAAATGGAACCGCCGCACCTCGGAGAGTTCGCATGTGAACCCTCCTGTAGGTGGGGTAGGAGGAGGTCACAGACTTTGAGATGTAGAAAGTTGTTTCCCCAGTCCTGAAGTCCCACGTGATTTCTAAGGAGTGCGTTGACAAAGCTCCTTGGTAGCAAGTTCGGATGCAACATGACGAGCGCATGCCTGTACTCCGTGATCTGCACGGTGCCATTGGGTGGCTTTCCGACACAGATAGCAGACAGCCACAGTTGAGTGCAATCAAGGATAAGGGCTGCCCGATTAGTTGCGAGAAGCATGAGCAGCCGGGCTGCATCACTGAAGCTGTCTGAGCTGCTTGTGCCTGCGAGCCTCATCGCAGAAGGCATCAGTGCCATGCTCCCCCGCAATGCAAAAACTGCACCAGCATCAACTGGTGCTCGTCAGTTGCCCGGCATCACAGATACGCACTCTACTGTGTCAGACTTGAAGTTTCCCGCGCAGCCCTCAGCCAGACCACCTCAAAACTGAGGACCCATGTCCGCAAATGTGTGACTTGCACGAAATCTCCTGCTCCAGGCGCGGCTTTCCTTGGATTTTTGCGTAAAGCATGTAGAGCGACATAGCATGCCAAGCCTTTAAATTAAGCCTGTTGAGAATTCAAGCTTCAGCGCTATGTGCTGCCAAGCTCATTAGAGCATGGGTCGATTGGGTCGATTTTGATGAAATTCATGGCACTGCAGCACTACAGTACTGCTTGCTCTATGACTCTATGCCTCCTTAATGCGACTTTGCCCCCGGGATGTAAAGTCTCATGGAGGGAGAGACCAAGCGTCCGAGCTCCTTGAGTTTGGTTGCCTAGTTCTTCTTGGGGGAGGCATGATGGCAGCAACTTTTGCGCAGCGCGCACAAATGGCTGCCCGGCGAACTGCTCCAACAAGGACATCTGCCAACAATGCTTTTTGTTTTTGTTTTCGGGCTGATTATGAATTTAGGCAGCGGTTCAGCCTGGTAAATGCCAGGAGCATCATTGTCACTTGCCGCCGCATCCACCAGCACAGCAAGGATTCAACTGGTGCTCAAAGCGGCTTGACGTGCTTGTTGAAACTGTCACTTGCGCAACATACACTCTGGGAAAGGCAATTCCCCGCGACCTGCATTTCCTTTGCATGCACCTTGCGCATGCTTTCGCGAATCGAGGGTGTACGGCCAAGGCAGAAGTGTCCGGAAGCCTGCAACTCGACGGAGCTGGCGTGCGCCGCGGAGCGGGGCTTAGCGGCTTGCGAGTAATGTTCGAAGCATAGGTTGGCAACGGTTTGGGGTCGGAATACGGCCGTTGGCAACAGGGCGCAGGATGCTTACCTTCATCCCGAATCTGCGTCAGCAGGAAGATGGCGGCGGCATCTGCGTGCCTCGAGCCACTAAGCAGGCATGTCAGACTCACCGCCCAGGCCCAGGCATGCCCGCAATTCATATTATAGCAGCCATAGTATATCGAATTGTTGCGTTTCTGGTCTGAAGTGTTTGAGGAAGCAGGCTGTCCGGTCAAGTGCAAGAAGCACGAACACCGGTGCCACTCGCCGCCGGCTCGTGCTGCGACCTCCACGCACTGAGATGTTGATGGCTCATAGGGTTCCAAAATAGGAACCTGAGATTTCTCTGTCTGGCTGCCAGGACGGCTCAGGTCTCAACTGGTGCGCCGAAGCCGACTCGCCTTGCCCGCTTTATAACTGCAGCAAGGGTCAGGTGGCTTGCTTGGAGGACGAGGCGGGGTCGGTAGTCATTGAAGATTTGACCAAATACCCAACGATCTTGAACGTGAACTGCCCGAGATCATCATCTGCCAGGTCTACACCTGCTACGATCGAAGGGATGGCTGTCCTGCGAACTGCAGCAAGCATCAGCATGCACCTTTGCATTGCATTTTCGCATCATGTTTGAAACAGGGTCGGCAAGGCATCGTCGCCAGTAAATTCGGAGAGGAAGGCTGTGCAAGCTCAGCAAGCGCATGCCACGGACGTTCTAGCTTACAGTAGCCCCGAGTTTGATGAAGCTGTGCTGCCGCTCCCCATGAAGGTATGCCACAGTGCCCCCGAAGCTGACTGTCCAGATTGTGTAGCAGTGCCGCAGCTTCAAGTAAGCAACGGCTTCGCGAGGGTCAGGTCAGTCAGCCTTGTTGGTGACGCATGTCTTGAGCAGCGAGACGGGGCGACTAGCTAGCAGTGTCAGCACAGGAGCAGCCTTGCATCTGACGCTGATAGGCGCATGTAAGCGTCAAGTTGCCGCCGATAGTGACCCGGACTTGTAAACTGCAGCGTCTCTGCCCGAAGCCTTGACGCTCCCGAGGTGAACTGGTGCTCCGACGAGAAATGTCCTGAAGCATGTTCTGACGACGAGATCACATGTCTACACAAACACGGTCCGGGCCTTCAGAGGGTGTTCCGACAACATGTGCACTGGACTGAAATGGCCCGATGTAGTCCTGTTCAGCTTTTGTAACCTCCTCTTCGCAGATTCGGGCGCCTCATCCGTAACCTAATTTGCTGCACAACTGCGTCGTCATTAGACCTTGCTGCTGCCGAACCAACGAAGCCGTCCAAGGCACGACCTGCCGGCTCTTGTCGCAGGGCTGTCCGGTTCACTGCAACGCTTCGCAGCACTCCTGCCACTCCCCACCGCCCTGCAAAGGCGTTTGGACGGCATTGGACGGCACATCCGGTACCCTCTCCTTCTCGTTGCAATTTGCTGGTTCCCCCTTGTTTGTAGGATAGTAGTTTCAGGACTGTCGTAGGACTCGTCCGAATGTCTGCACCATGCCATTTATCCGAGCTTGAACTACTCGTAGCATTGGTCTCACATGGTATTGGAGATTCACAGCTGCGGGATGCAGGGTCGGAGTGCCAGTGATCCAGTTTTTGAAACATCACTAACATGCACCCCTACATGCATACATACATAAATACGTACATACATACATACATGCATACATACACATACAACTCCACCCATGTATGCACGTATGCACTCATGCACACGTACGTACATACATTCATACATAGGCATGCACACATATACACGTACTGCCTGCCTACCTACGCAATTCGCATTCTGTGCGCGGGTATTTGCCTACGTATGTCTTCCACTGATTCCCTGAAAATGCTCCGGACCCACCAGACAAGGGGGGACGCATTGTGGTAAGGGTGCTTGTCGGTAGAACTGAATCGCATCAGTACAAGCAGGGCGTTTGCACTTGTGTTGTGAAAACGCTCAAATCTCACCAGAGCGGGTGGGCTCCGAGCAGAAGGCTGGAGTTTGTGGAAGCTTCCCTTCACAGTCAACATGAACTTTGTAGGAGTTTATCCCCCGCCCAAACCGGAGCACAGGCTGCACCGGGAGCAACTGGTGCTCCGACGTGCCATGCCCCTTCGTTTGTGCGTCGGATGCTTCTCGGCTAAGACGCGTCATCAGACTTACCCTCAGCCTCAGGCTTGTCATGGTCTTGATGGGCAGCCGCAATTCTCATGAGGTCAGGCATGTGCACCCATTCAGGAAATCCAATGCACTGGCAGCAACGGCACGGAATTCTGCGCTGCAGTTGCTGATGGCTGTCCTGTGACATGCCGTGACGAGGCGGGCTCGAAGATGGTGGTAACGCTGTGAGGATGCGAAAAGTAATGTGAACTTATCATGCGGTTACCTTGCCTTGCTAACTGTTGCGATACGACGACGACTGTACGACACATATTTTGCACTGCTAGCAGGCTTTGGAAGCCCCCTTCCCCATTATCACGTTGGGGCTGCTACCTAACGTCAATACGGCGAAGGTTGCTAGCACCTACTGCTACTGCTACCGTCATCACCTACTACAGGGCTCCAGTGCGTCGTGTCATGACACAAGATGCTTTCCAGGACTATATCTGCCACATGCCACCGCAGTGCCCGGAGTGTGTTGGCACGAACTGGCCACTTGTCTTAAGTGCCGCAAGTGCTAGACGAAAGGCAAGGGTGCGGCAGGATGACACCATGTTCCTGACCTAACCGATTCTATCTGCTACTGACCCTGAGGTGCTCTGCAGAACCCTGTGCGACGTCCGTTTGAGCAGCATTGCAGCCAAAATGACTGGGCAAGGGATGGGCAGAGGCCATGCAGACAAGCCGACCGTGGATATGGATACTGTCGTCTTGCCTGCGGGTTCTTGGTTTTTGTGTGGCTTTTGAGTGCCAGCACGAGAGCAACCCAACGCAGCTAAAGCGCCAAGCTACGTTTCTGTGCTCACCGCGTCGGATGTTGCACAAGTGTGGAGTTGCAGCAAGCTCTATTGAACTCTATTGCTGCTCTGTGGAGTTGGGCTATGGCTGCCGATGTGCATTTGGCTCAAAGCGCCAGCTTTCGTTATGTTCTAGTGTCAAGGTCCTGTGGGGCGCTTCCTGTCCCTTCCATATCTCAACATGAAACTAGCATCCTCGATGCAGAAGACCAGCGCCCTTGAGAAGCATCTTTGGCAGAACTGGGAGTAACGACTGTTGTTTCAGAGTTGCTCCATGCTATTACTATCTGAAAGTTGTGCGGGGCGGGCAAGACAACATTTTTATGTAAGCTCTCGGCAGACTGCTGCAAGGCATTTCCACACCAAGCATCCGCTTCGAATGTTTTATCGTGCTCCCTGGCAGCAAGGTGCATCCTGAAGTTTTGGTCCGCATTGGCCCGGCAAAAGGATTTGTATAAACACTCAGTGGAACTGGCTTACTCATTGGAGATCGAAGATGTGGAACCGAGGATGTTCTGGATGAGGTGGAAGGCTGCAAGCACCCCAGCTGCATTCTCTAGGCTTTTCGACAGCTCGGCTGCCGGTCTTTTTGCGGTCTCGACCCACTTGAGGAGCAGCGAACTGGATTTGTCCTTGAAGCACGGGTGGTAAGAGAGCCTCAATCTGTAGCATACTGGCTGGGTAGCTTCAAGAGAGGCAGCTGGCATCTGGCCCGTGCTTGTGCACGTAGTGAGAACCAGCCGTAGTGTTTGCCTTTGCCTACGCCTTTCCTGCATGTCCCTGGCACTTTTTCTTGTGACTGAAGTGTCTTTGTGATGCAGGGGCTACTTTGACTTGTCCGCCGTTTGGGCTCGCCTCGCCCCGTCCGGGAACGTCTACCGCCTCTGTGCTCTCCAGGAGGCGGCTCAGGGCTGCCAAGAACGAATCACCAACTGTGATGGATGCTTGTGCTGCTTGTGATGTCATTCAAAGACAGCCCATCCAACCGCAAACTCGTAGAGGCTTTCCGGGAAACTATATATACACGTGCTGATAAGGCGATACGTCTATCTGCAGGTTTCGGGTGTGGCAGGAAGCGCCATGTTTGTCGATTCTCAAAGACCTCTTGTGGCGTCTTGCGGCCTTCGAGATTATCATCGCCATCGCCGAATCTTACTTAGAACACCTTGCTGCTGGCCACAATGGAAAATCGAAGCAGCCAGGGTGATTTTGCGACAAGCCCTTTGAAGCAACAACTGATCGCAAGATTGCTGTGCTCGTGAGCTGGCTACGATTTTCGAATAGTTGGAGGTCTGGAATCTACGTATCAACAGAAATGCTGTCTGAATCGGAGCGGGTATGATCGCAACTACAGGAGCTCGGAGGGCCGTATTCTGGCAGCCAACAACAAGCCCAGTTTCAAAAGGGCAACATGGTGCGGACAAGTGGGTAAGAAATCGCCATGCAAGTTTACATGACATCCGTCAGGTAAACTTGCATAAGTGCAAGCCGCCCGAAAGGAACTTGAGCCTTTGAGAAACATAAGCAAACTGTTCGCACGGGATTAGGGCATCTGACAAGGAGGCTTCCACACGAAAGGGATTAGAGTCTTAGAGCAATAGAAAACCAATGATTGAACCGCCCGAAAGGGGCTAGAGCATTTGCGGACTGCGAGCAAACCGGTCGAAACCGACTAGAGCATTTGAGTAAAAGGAGCCACCCGCCCGAGAGAGACTAGAGCTTTTTGAAAACCGCTCCAAAGGAACTGGTTCGGCCAGGACCAGCAACAGAGACAACACAGCAAGCCGATCGATTGAATAGCGGGAGCTACCCGCGTCCAAGGTACTAGAGCATTTGAGAAGAACGAATTGCCTTTCGAGCGGTGTGTACCATTTTCTGAAATGCTCTAGTCCTTTTTGAGCGGCCTTGCTCCATTTTCAAGTACCCTGCTCCCTTTCGAGCTGTTTGCTCCTTGTTCGCAGATGTACTAATTCTGTTCGAGCGGTTGGTTCAGTTGGTTCTTTCTTCTCAAACACTCTAATCCCTTTCGTTCGCTTTGCTCCTTCTTAACTTCGTTTCGGGCGGTTTGACCCTATTGCTCAAATGCTCGTATGCCTTCCAATCGTTTATCAGAAGTTTGAAGTTTAGACGTTCTAACCTACGCTCCTGGTGCAGATAGTTTTTTTTGCTAATTTGAATTGCTCCAGCAGGCCGCTGCAAAGGGGCCAGAGCACGTGAAGAAAAGGAACAAACCACCCGACAGGGACCAGAGCTGTTTTTTTTTTAGAGCCAGCTGCTCGACAGGTACTAGTTCGTTTGACAACCAGGAGCAATCCGAACTTAATGTATTGGAATTTTTGTCTGGAGCAAACCGGCAAAACGGAGTAGAGCAATTGAGAACAAGAAGCATAGCACTCGAAACGAATTAGAGCATCTGACAGAAGAGAGCAAACCGCGTGAAAGGGATTAACGAGCTGTTTAGGTCAACGAGACAAACCACTCGAAAAGAACTAGTTAAGATATTTGTAACACGGAGCAAGCCGCGGAAAAGGAGGGCACGGAACGGATGAGCATTTGAGCAACAGGCGCAAAAAGCTCGAAAGAACTAGAGCTTTCGAGAACAAGGACTTCACCGCTCGAAGGGCATTCGGGCATTGGAGAATAAGGCGCAAACAGCTCAAAAGGGGCTGGTGTATTTTTGCAAAGGAGCACCACAGAAAATTTGAGAAGCGCAGCCACTCGAAACGGACAAGAGCGACGGAAAAAAAGGTGCAAACCGATCGAATGGAACCAGCAAGTTTAAGAACAAGGATCGAACAAAGCCTGTGAGAATATGGGGCAACCCCTTCGAAAAGGACTAGAGAGTGTTGGAGAGCAAAGAGGAAACGTCGGACAGGGAATACTGTAGGCGTTTGAGGAGATGGCCGAAAGGGGATGCAGCATTGGAGAAAGAGGCACAAACCAATCGAACTGGACTATGGAGTATACTTAAGATAATGAGCAAACAGGTCAAAAGGGGCTGTGGCATTTGATAGTGAACCCTGGGGAAACATGGACTGGAACCGCTGCTCGAAAGGGATTGGACAATTTCAGCAAAAGAGCCAACCACTCAAACCGCACTAGAGCATTTGAGATGGAGGAGTTCCCGCTCCAATCGTACTCGAGCATTTGAGAACAACATACCGGTCGAAATTGATCAGAGCGCTCGAGACAAGGAACAAACCACCCGAAAGCGAAGAAGAAGGAACAAACCCCTTGAAAGGGATTGGAACAGCTGGGAACAGGGGCAAACCGCTCGACAAGTATGCGAGGATGTGAGCAAAAAGAGAAAATCGCTTTACAAACTATTATAGCATTTCACCAGAAGCAACCCACTCGAAGGGGACTAGAGCTTTTGAGAGAAGGGAGCAGTTCGCTCGAAACGGACGAGAGCGTTCGAGAAAAGGGAGCAAGCCCTGCAAGAGGGACCAGAGCAGTTAAAAGCTAAAAGGAGCGCCTCGCTCGAAAGGGAGTTGAGCATATCTTTGAGAGAAAGTACAACTCCGCCCAAGAAGAACTATTCGAAAAGAGAGCAAACTGCAAACCCGCTCCGGAAACGGCTCCGGAACCTGCTGCGGAACCCGCTCCAACACCTGCTCAAAAAAACAGGGCTTTAGGCTCCCAAGCGCTTAAGACCTCACGCTTCGCTGTTGGTCAAACAGTCGTCGAGGATCATATCGAAGCTGACTGATTCTCTGTTAGTGCTCAACCATGGGAGGTCTGCTCGATGAACCCGAGCTGAGCCTTGCCCATTGGACTCACTTGAGAACGGCGAGGGATGACCGCAAGATGAGTAAATGAGGGGTGAGACGTCGAGAGGTGCGCCTGGGTCACTGCGCAGACCTGCAATCCCAGCTCAGGGAGCTGGCAGAGGACCTCCTAGAAACTCGTAGTTTGGCACAAAGCCCAGATGAAGAGCAGTTTGTAGAAGGAAGTACGAAGCCATATGAATCCCTGCAGGAGTTCGAGGAGATGTTGGGCGGCACGTCGGAAGAACGCTACAACTTGCTGATCGCATCGTTAAAGGAAGCGAAGGCACGTGGAGTTTCTGTGTGATCTATTTCTGCAGCGTCCTCATGCTCGGAATATGGCCGAAGACCTGCAGATGCAGGGATCGTATGTATTTTGTGGGGGACAGTGGATACATCGCTTGCGGTGCACCATGTCAGCATGTCTGAGCCTGAGCCGGTCCATGTAGAGTCACAAGACTTTCCCGTCCCGTCCAGGTGGACTTGGACGAGGCTGGAATTTCATTATATGGGTCAATGACACCTCAAACTCCGGCTGCCGAGTAAGGGTGTGCAAGAAGTGACAGGCCTATGAGCAAGCTGAGAAGGGCTGGGAGCTCGACAGCTTTAAGACCACCGGGTATCCTCCGCTTGAGGAATTTCTTGTGCCCGAGCTGCGACAAGAATTTCAGGGAATTTTGAGAGCACATCTTTGCGTTTTTGTGTTCTCTGCGCTTCGAACTGCGCTTGTGGTGGATCGAGGTCGGTAATGTCAGTCGCGGACTTCTCGTCGTCCCCGCGGAGCCAAGTGCATGGAAGGACTTGGACATGCCCTCGGTACGTGGGGTTTGAAGTCAGGATGAGCAGGCAGTGACATACAACAGTTCGCAGGACTGGTGCACCTCAAAGCTTGTTGGCTGCATGGACTTCCTGACCTGTTTGCTTCTGTGGCCTTGCACAAGTTGTTTGAGATGTAGGCCAAGGGGAGTGCCAGGTTGCCGTGGTTCAGATCCTTGGCCCTGTCATGGTGGTGTTGAGCTTGTGGCAGGAGCTGAGATATAGACCGTGGTGCTGCATCGGATTTTGCAGCCAAGCACCTGCCTCTGTGACGGATGCGACCAGGACCCGACCAACTATCTGCAGCATCCCCTTGAAACGGCGCAGCGCATCTCTGTAAAGAACGTCTTCTGTGTCGAGAGGGACATGGGTGAGCCTTGGTTCACCAGGTCAGGGCTCAGGTAAGCTCTTGGGCCCTGTCTGGCGACTGTCCAATCAGGCTTTGTTTTATGGCCGGCGGGGGGTCACCGCGGGTGGGACAGGACTTTGCACCGAAGTGAAATTCTGTCAATGCACCTGGCTTCTTTTTGAGAAGCTCTCAGGAGTGGTGTACCATTCTCATGGGCGTGGTCTTCTCCTTCTTCGTGGTGGTTCAGTTGTTGAACTATGCACACGAAGAGTTGGAGGTGGCCAAGTGGTCATTAGGAAGTATTGCGCTAGTTACGGCGGTAAGGGTGTAGGTTGGCCAAGGCAGCCTTGGCAGTGTTCTTCCAGAAACTTGGCAGTCGCCCCGATCTCTGTAGATTCTGGCCAGGATGCATACAAGTTCGGCCGTCTTGCTGGTTGCGCTTCCTTCTGGGCTTTCGCAGGCCAGGGTTTGCTCAACAGCTGGCATTCCTTTCCGTCGGAACTGCGGGATGCCATTTCCAGCAAGGTTTGCAGGAGAGGTCCGACACGTCCTGCTACGGACTTGCAGAGTGCAAACTGCAGAGCTGGAAACCAGCAAATGCAGGCCGCAGTGGAACCGAGCATAACGTTTCCCCCCCACCAGGTGGCTATATCAATGCCTGGTGCGCTGGGCGCTGAGAGTAGTTAGCTGCATGCCTGGCCGAAGGAGACGTGACTGGTACAAACATGGGGACAGAAGACACTGGATTGTCCAAGTATCGGGGGCAGGTGATGTGGAATATCTTGGTGATACCGGTGTCCTTCTGGAAGCTGACACACGCTTCTCAAGCAGCTTGGCCTCGTGATGCGAACAATTTTCTAGTGCCTTTGCGAGCTGCTCAGGTGGTCCTGAACGCGATGACAATACTGTTCATGTGTTTCGTCTACGACCGATGCCTCACCTTCAAAGTGGGAGGGCAATCAGCATCTTGAGAGTGCTGATGATTACTGCGTAGAGATATAGATATGAATATAGATAAATCAATATAAATATAAATCTAAATGAGAATATATATATATATAAACAAAAAAAATTATATATATATATATACACACATTCTTGTCCAGACCTCCACCCACCTTTTACCGCCTGCAGCTTTGTGATCGACAAAGGTTGCACGGAATTTTCTTCCAAGGGCGCTTAAGGAGAGCTTGCTTCCGAGGTTTAACTTGGATGATCTCGCTGGCACAGCCGGGTCTGTGCTCGGTACCAGTGACACCCTTTTCCAACGGGGCCTGTGTTGGAACTAC